GTTGTAAATAAACACGTATTAACAAACAAAAAACTCTTTTGGAATCCCAATCCAAACACTTTCATATGCACACAACCAAACAAAAATTCTATTGTATATCCCATAAAAATGTCAGAGCCAATGGAAAATCACAGCTCAAATTGGCAGTCAAAGCCTGTGAAATTAAATTCCCCTTTGGCATTTTCTATGTATTTATATTTTATCCCTCAATTTATTTAAAAATTAAATTAAAAATTTACAAGATATTTCTTATTTCTTCGACGTGATACTCTTCTTTTTCCAAGTCTCTCAATTTCATAAGTAATGCATTTTGGGTGTTGCATAAAAACTCTACAATTTGAAAGACTTGTAAAAAGTTTAAGGGTTGTTCTTTTCGTATTACAGTTTTGTAGTTTTGAGTTTCGAATTCATTTTGAGTTTTATGTTTTGATGGTCTGTTTTGAAATTGTTGAAAAACGTTCTTTTTGTCATTCTGTAAAATTGTTTCTCAAAACATAAAAATGAAAAACACGTTTACTTTGAAATTTTGAGAATATTTTTTCATGCTATTTTATTCAAAAAATCACCACAACACCGCCAACAACACTCCTAGGTCCACTACAAAGTTGCCACCACTAGCTCGAATTCATTGCCAACCAAGATCAACACAACCACCGACTGTCACCACCACCACGAACCATGAACCAAAATCAAACATTTCCATCACCAAAATCAACCAAATCACCATTGATTCAACCACAAAAAAATATAAAAAAACAAAAAAGAATTCAGGTCCAGAACGCAATGGAATTAAGGGGAAAACAAAAACAGAATATCTCAAGAACAACAAGAAAGCAGAAACCAAGAAGAAAGAAGAACATACCACGACCACCATCAATTCAACCACCATGAACCATCAATTCATCCACCGCACCACATCGCCATTGTCAATCACCACCACCACCATCAAACGTACCACCACAAAATCAATACCACCACTACTACCATCAAATGTACTACCATGACAGACCACTACAACCTTCCCACCACCACCACCATCAACACCCATCACCGCCATATCGAAAAATCAAAAAACCTCCACAAAAGCTCAATCAACACCCATCGCGACGTTGCATTCACATCAGCGTCGCCTCCCTATGTCGGTGTCGGTATCAGCGCATCTCCTTCATTGCTGGCTACAATGTTTAAGAGAGAAGCCGGCCTCGAGAGAGGAGGAAGAGACGACTATTTGAGAAGAGAGAAAGGAGATCGAAGAGAGACGAGCTTGAATGAAGTTTCTCTTTCTTGTTTCCCGTGTTTTCAAATAATTTTGGGTTTTGTATAGAAAACGTCCCAAATGTCCAAATTGATGTTTTGCGTTTTCTTCGCAATTTTTTTTTGTTTTAGAAAATTCGGTTTTCAAAAACAGAAAAGAGAACGCATTTTCATTGTTTTGAAAAATCGAAAATAGAAAATGGCTTGAGAACAGCAAAGAGAACGTGACCTTATTGTTTAAACTCAAAGCGCCCATGAATTCTTGTTCCTCGACTCGATTAATTTTTTTACTGAAATAAAATAATAATATTTTTTAACTTATTGTATTTTTTGGACATAAACAAAAGAACAATTATAATGTCAAAGTGTAGACTTCATACAACAACTGCCCTAGCTCTGTCATATCTTTTGCTTCGTTTCTTCTCAAACAATCACAAACACAATTTTTTTTTTTTTTAGGAAAAAATTATGGAGCTACTACTAGAAATTCAATGCATAATTTCAACATTCAATATGTATTCTTGAATAATCTCATTTTCAATTATTCAGCTATTTTATTTTATCAAGTTCAATATTAGCCAGATTAGTCAACATTTATATGTTTCAATGCAACAACGAGATGTTATTTGTAACAAGTAGTTTTGTTGGTTGGTTAATTGATCATATTTTATTTATGAAATGACTTGGATTGTTATTAGTCTAGATATGACGAAATAATCAAATAAGTACATTTGATCTAATGAGTAATCAACAAAAATGCTCTTAGTCTCTTTCTCCTCTATTCTGTTGATATTTGTTTGATTTTAAGCATTTGATCTAAGGGTTTTCTAAAAGACTGTGAGTCATTACATCTAGAATTCAAGAAAATATTGTAATCCAATGATAGAGGGACTGTCAAGAGCACCGTCAATCTCAACAGATCCAGTAAATACATTAATTAATTTATCCCTTTCTCTGAAATGATGTTAAGGTGCAGAAACAAATTTTCAAAATAAGGGAGCCTTTTTTCTTTCCTATTTTTCCATTTTTTAATGTCCCATAGATTAAAAAAAAAAAAAACCTAAAATAGTGATATTAGATCTTTTATACCAGTCTTATCAGCAACAAACTTCTTCATCTTTGCTTTTAAAAATATCACGAGTTTAGAACTTAAACTCCATTTTTCTTCTCCATTTTGCTTTTCATGTTTTGTTAGGTTTGTAACTACGTGACTAATTGAAGTGGAAGGACAATTTGATGATATTTCATCAGATGATTGCATAAGAAAGGCGTAAGTTAGGTTATATAAAAAGAAGGGAAACAAATGATAAATAAAGGATTTTTAGACTGATTGGTTTAGGAATCCAAGTTTGGATTCGGTATGGATAAAAGAACTCCTATTTTATACTTCATCCGTCCTAATTATATAAACTTGTTTCGTTTTTCACGTAGATGAAGAAATCTTCATTAATGTCATTAGAAAATTAATTTTTGCCAAGATTTTTCATAGTTTATCCCTATTTAATTTTCAGTATGTAGTAGTAAGTTATCGTTTGAATTAGTAAAAAAATTGAATGATTTAATTTGAAAAAGAAGAAATGAGGAGTACATACTGAAAATTAAATAGGGATAAATTAGGAAAGATTTTGGCAAAAATTAATTTTACGATGACATTAAAGAAGTTTTTTTTAATTCATATGAAAAACGAAATTAGTCTATATAATTGGGATGGAGGGACTAGTAGTAAATTATTATTGGAATTAGTAAAGAATTTGAATGATTTAATTTGAAAAAGAAGAAATGGGAGTTGTTTCATATTTTCAAAAAGTGAGAAATGTGTATATTTGAATTATTTCAAAAAGTTGGCATATTAAGTGTGGAAAATTAAATAAAGGTATATTGACAAAAGAATAAACAAAATATTCTAAATTAAGAAATGGGCCTATATATTTAATACAAGAGAAAAAGAAAAATTGGTCTATATAATTGGTTCGGACGATTATTCAACTATTTTATTTTATCAAGTTCAATATTAGCCAGATTAGTCAACATTTATATGTTTCAATGCAACAACGAGATGTTATTTGTAACAAGTAGTTTTGTTGGTTGGTTAATTGATCATATTTTATTTATGAAATGACTTGGATTGTTATTAGTCTAGATATGACGAAATAATCAAATAAGTACATTTGATCTAATGAGTAATCAACAAAAATGCTCTTAGTCTCTTTCTCCTCTATTCTGTTGATATTTGTTTGATTTTAAGCATTTGATCTAAGGGTTTTCTAAAAGACCGTGAGTCATTACATCTAGAATTCAAGAAAATATTGTAATCCAATGATAGAGGGACTATAAAGAGCACCGTCAATCTCAACAGATCCAGTAAATACATTAATTAATTTATCCCTTTCTCTGAAATGATGTTAAGGTGCAGAAACAAATTTTCAAAATAAGGGAGCCTTTTTTCTTTCCTATTTTTCCATTTTTTAATGTCCCATAGATAAAAAAAAAAAAAAAACCTAAAATAGTGATATTAGATCTTTTATACCAGTCTTATCAACATCAAACTTCTTCATCTTCGCTTTTAAAAATATGTCTTCTCCATTTTGCTTTTCATGTTTTGTTAGGTTTGTAACTACGTGACTAATTGAAGTGGAAGGACAATTTGATGATATTTCATCAGATGATTGCATAAGAAAGGCGTAAGTTAGGTTATATAAAAAGAAGGGGAACAAATGATAAATAAAGGATTTTTAGACTGATTGGTTTAGGAATCCAAGTTTGGATTCGGTATGGATAGAAGAACTCCTATTTTATACTTCATCCGTCCTAATTATATAAACTTGTTTCGTTTTTCACGCAAATGAAGAAATCTTCATTAATGTCATTAGAAAATTAATTTTTGCCAAGATTTTTCATAGTTTATCCCTAATTAATTTTCAGTATGTAGTAGTAAATTATCGTTTGAATTAGTAAAGAAATTGAATGATTTAATTTGAAAAAGAAGAAATGAGAAGTACATACTGAAAATTAAATAGGGATAAATTAGGAAAGATTTTGGCAAAAATTAATTTTACGATGACATTAAAGAAGTTTTTTTTAATTCATATGAAAAACGAAATTAGCCTATATAATTGGGATGGAGGGACTAGTAGTAAATTATTATTGGAATTAGTAAAGAATTTGAATGATTTAATTTGAAAAAGAAGAAATGAGAGTTGTTTCATATTTTCAAAAAGTGAGAAATGTGTATATTTGAATGATTTCAAAAAGTTGGCATATTAAGTGCGGAAAATTAAATAAAGGTATATTGACAAAAGAATAAACAAAATATTCTAAATTAAGAAATGGGCCCATATATTTAATACAAGAGAAAAAGAAAAATTGGTCTATATAATTGGTTCCGACGGAGTACTATTCAAATCTCAACGGCGAATTGATTTGATAACTCAAATATTGTTATTTCTAATTCAATATCATCTAGAGGTAATTTGTTCATTGACTTTATAGGTGAAAGATTTAATATCTCTATGGGATTAAATTCCGAATTATTGTGAAGTAAAAAAACCAATGTGACTATGGACGATATTCATTTTCTGTTTTCTTTTTAATTATTTCTACCAAAATATCTCCAAAAGGCGTATAGTCGTTATGTTATTTCTAGTTATATTACTTTATTTTTTCCCCCTAAAAATGTCAATGAAAATTAAAAAAAAAAAAAATTAAAAAATTAAAAAAAAAAAACCCTTAAAAACCCGAACCTAAGCAAAGATCTCTTCCTCATACTCCCTCTCAAAACCCAACCCCAAAACCTTATCACAATCTCTCCTCTTATTTTCCTCTCCTTCTTTCTATCCGTAAACCCTCAAAATTCTTATCTCAAAGTGATTTTAGCCTTCAATTCCTTGTTACTGCGTCCATGGATTCTAAGGAAGCGACGGCGTTTTTCGTTTCAGATACTTCCTCAGGTTCTTCTCCTTCTTCTTATGTATCTAATAATCAAAATTTGTTGAAAACAAGTGTTGTGGACACTGATGTTAAGAATAATAGTGAAAATGGGATTAAAGATAATGTTTCTGATGAAGAGGACGAGGGGGGTTATGTTAGTGGGCAAGAGGAGTTTGAATCTTCGTCGGAGAAGCTGATTTTGACTGGGGCGGACGGGGAAGCTGCAGGGAATGGTGCTGAGGATAGGGGTTTTGATGAGGCCTCGGGAGTTTCGATGGCAAAAGTCGATGCTTTTTCGATTTCTGGGGTTTCTGATAATGATAGCAGTGTTGAAAAAGGGGTTAATGATGACGAAAAAGATGGGGTGGTGTTGGGGAAAGATTCTGTTAATGGCTCAGTTGCTATTGCTGGTAGTGATACTAACGAATCGAAGGTGGAGGAGGTTGAGATGGATAGAGACAAGGCTGAGAAGAATCAGAAGACTGAGTCTTTAACCAGCGAAGCTCCGGCTACTGAACCGAATGCAAAAGGGGATTCTCTTGAACCGGCAGAATCAGAGTTGGCCGAAGAAGGTGGGGTGAAATTCACATCTGAAGGGGATTCTGTTGTTGATACCCCTGGACCAGGGGCGGCTGTTGTTCAGCCTACAGAAGAAGACATTAAAATGGATGAGGTTCCAGTTGATGAGAGTGTGGAACTAGTTGGTGCTGCTATTGAAACTAGCCATGGCTGTGAAGAAGCATCTAGTGTGAAAATCACATCTGAAGGGGATTCTGTTGTTGATACGATTCATGTTGATATTGCTCGGCCGGGGGTGGATGTTGTTGGGGAGGTGGGACCCAAAGTTGAGAAAGTGGAGGTTCCAGTTGATGAGAATAGGGAACCAGTTGGTGCTGATTTTGAAACTAATCATGGAGTTGAAGAAGCATGTTGTATGGAATTGACATCTGAAGGAGATTCCGTTGTTGATACCATTAAGGTTGATACACTTGTGCCCACTGTGCCCGGGTTGGTGGTTGTTGGGGAGACAGAAGAAGAAATTGAAAGAGTGAAGGTTTCAGTTGATGAGAATGCTGAACCAGTTTATAAAAGCTCCGAGTTCAAGCCAATTGAATCTGACAATAATGCTGTTGCGTATGAGAACGATGAAAAGATTGATGCAAGAGTTGTAAATGATGTGGCAAATGGAGTTCACATGGGTGTAACAACAAATGATTTGGTCAATAGTGAGAATATTATAAAGAAGTCGGAGGACGGATTTAACCCAGTGTCCGTTTCTGAGGTTGGAACTGAAATGAAGATTAGCAATGATAGAGAAGTTGGACTTTTCAGTGAAACAGTAGGAGTAGATGGAGATACTAATGGCGAGTATTCCCATGTTAATGTTGGTGATCAATTGGAGGATGGGGTCCACAAGGAATCAGAACCTGAATCATTCTTTGAGCCACATGAAATTAGAGAAGCTGAAAATGAAGGCCAATATCAAATGAATGAAGAAGCTGATCATGAAGACTTGACATCAGATGAGGCAACTGATGGTATGATTTTTGGAAGTTCTGAGGCCGCCAAGCAGTTCATTGAGGAGCTGGAACGGGGATCGGGTGGTGGTTCACGTGCTGACAGTTCGCTTGAGCACTCTCAAGGGATTGATGGTCAAATTGTCACAGACTCGGAAGAAGAAGCCGACACAGATGAAGAAGGAGATGGTAAAGAGTTGTTTGATTCTGCTGCCTTGGCAGCTCTTTTGAAAGCTGCAACAGGTGCTGATTCAGACAGTGGCAGTATCACCATAACCTCTCAAGATGGATCTAGGCTTTTCTCTGTTGAGCGTCCAGCTGGCCTGGGATCTTCACTCCGGTCTTTGCGACCTGCCCCACAACCAAACCGCCCCAACCTTTTCACTCCTTCCACTTTTTCGGGGAGGGGAGAATCTGAGAACAACTTGAGTGAAGAAGAGAAAAAGAAACTGGAGAAGTTACAGCAGATCAGAGTTAAATTTTTGAGGCTAGTTTATAGATTAGGCCTCTCTCTAGAAGAATCCATGGCAGCACAGGTTCTGTATCGCTTCACACTTCTTGCAGGAAGGCAGAATGGCCAAATTTTTAGTGTGGATGCTGCCAAGAGGATGGCTGTGGAGCTTGAATCAGAGGGAAAAGATGATTTGGACTTCAATGTGAACATCTTGGTTCTTGGAAAATCTGGAATGGGTAAAAGCGCTACCATAAATTCGATATTTGGAGAGGAGAAGGCACCAGTCGATGCATTTGAAACTGAGACGGCTTCTGTGAAAGAGATTAGTGGGTTTGTTGATGGAGTTAAAGTTGTGATATATGACACGCCTGGTCTCAAGCCTTCTGTAATGGAACAGGCTTACAACCGCAATGTGTTGTCTTCTGTCAAGAAGTTCACAAAGAAAAGCTCTCCTGATGTTGTCCTCTATGTGGACCGATTGGATGCTCAAACAAGAGATCTTAACGATCTACCACTACTGAGGACTGTTACTAGTTCTCTTGGCCCCTCTATCTGGCGAAGTGCAATAGTCACCCTTACCCATGGTGCCTCTGCACCTCCTGATGGACCTTCGGGTACTCCTTTGAGCTACGAGGCGTTTGTTGCTCAAAGATCTCATGTTGTCCAACAGTCCATTGGGCAGGCCGTAGGTGATCTACGTATGATGAGTCCAAGTCTGATGAATCCTGTTTCTCTTGTGGAAAACCACCCCTCTTGCCGGAAGAACAGGGAGGGTCAGAAAATACTTCCCAATGGCCAGAGTTGGAGATCTCAGTTGTTGCTGTTATGCTACTCGATGAAGATATTATCAGAAGCAAGTTCTCTCTCGAAACCTCATGATCCATTTGACCACCGCAAGCTATTTGGTTTTCGAGTCCGCTCACCACCTCTTCCGTACATGTTGTCATCGATGTTGCAATCTCGTGCTCATCCAAAGCTTCCTTCCGAGCAGGGTGGTGACAATGCTGATTCTGATATTGATTTGGATGATTTTTCGGATTCTGATCAAGAAGGAGAAGATGAATATGACCAGCTCCCTCCCTTTAAGCCTCTGAGGAAAGCTCAGATAGCTAAACTCAGCAAAGAACAGAGGAAGGCATATTTCGAAGAGTACGACTATCGGGTGAAGCTACTTCAGAAGAAACAGTTTAAAGACGAAATCAGAAGAATGAAAGAATTTAAAAAACAAGGGAAGGTTCCTGCTGCTGATTATGCTAATCCGGAGGAAGAAGCCGATGCTGGAGCTGCAGCTCCTGTGGCGGTTCCTCTACCAGACATGGCCCTGCCACCTTCATTTGATGGTGATAATCCTGCATACAGGTACCGATTCTTGGAGCCAACTTCCCAGTTTCTTGCAAGACCAGTTCTAGATTCCCATGGTTGGGACCATGATTGTGGCTATGACGGCGTTAACCTTGAACATGGACTTGCTATTGCTAATCGCTACCCAGCTGCATTTACAGTTCAAATCACAAAAGATAAGAAAGACTTCACACTCAGTTTGGATTCCTCTGTTTCAGTTAAGCACGGGGAGAATATCTCGAGCATGGCAGGGTTCGACATTCAAAGTATAGGAAAGCAACTTGCATACATAGTCCGAGGTGAAACCAAATTCAAAAATTTGAAGAAGAACAAGGCGGCTGGTGGGATGTCTGTTACTTTTCTAGGCGAGAACGTGGTGCCTGGTGTGAAGATTGAGGATCAGATTACATTGGGAAAACAGTATGTTTTGGTTGGTAGCTGTGGTGCTGTTCGTTCACAGAGTGAAACTGCGTATGGAGCGAACTTTGAACTGCAACGTAAGGAGCTCGACTCTCCAATAGGCCAGGTTCAATCGACCCTCAGCATGTCTGTGATCAAGTGGCGCGGGGACTTTGCTCTTGGGTTCAACAGTCTGGCACAGTTCTCAATCGGGCGTAATTCTAAGGTTGCTGTTCGAGCCGGGATCAACAACAAGCTCAGTGGTCAGATCACCGTAAGGACAAGTAATTCGGAGAATCTTTCTCTTGCACTGGCTGCTATTATTCCAACTGCAATTTCCATTTACAGAAAATTCTGGCCTGGTGTTGCCGACAAGTATTCAATTTACTAATCCTCGTATCTTGCGGTGTTTCATTCTTTAGTTATATTACTCATGTTATAAGACTCTGCATTTATCATTTTTACATCATTTCAAATGCATATTGTAGTATTTTTCTTATACGTTGCTGCTCAAACTTCTTTTTGGCGTGATAATGTACTCTCGATGAGATGATACGACAAAATTAAAAGAATCGTCTATGCTTAGTTGCTCTCCTTTGTTATCTTTTAGTAATGAAATGCGATGTGCCTTAAGTATAGCTAAATGCGTAAATGGGATCAAGCTTAAAATGACTAGGGTCCGGCTTCCCCTTTTAATTCTCCAGGGGAAATGGACAATTCCCATATATCTTTGGAGGAAATGTAATTTTAAGTAAAGCAACTTTACTACATGTACATCAAGATTTACATAAAGAATTACACATAATGACACAATAGCCTACAATTTTACTTTTTTATCCAATTTTTCCCCCCTTTACATCATTTTGATTAAAAGAATCGTCTATGCTTAGTTGCTCTCCTTTGTTATCTTTTAGTAATGAAATGCGATGTGCCTTAAGTATAGCTAAATGTGTAAATGGGATCAAGCTTAAAATGACTAGGGTCCGGCTTCCCCTTTTAATTCTCCAGGGGAAATGGACAATTCCCATATATCTTTGGAGGAAATGTAATTTTAAGTAAAGCGACTTTACTACATGTACATCAAGATTTACATAAAGAATTACACATAATGACACAATAGCCTACAATTTTACTTTTTTATCCAATTTTTCCCCCCTTTACATCATTTTTTATAACCGCTGATGTACCATTTTTATATACAAGTAGCAAAATCCAATTTGGCATTTGAATTCAAAGCATTAAAAAAATGCACGTCAATTTTTCACTTCAAAAGACGCCTAAACATGCCAATCCACTTCACCACCCCCACTACCACCACCAAATGACAAAAAGGAAATGCTAATTCTACCGAGAGGAGAGAGAACCAAAAACGCAACTACAGAATAGGTAATTGCTTGCTAACAGCTAGAGGTATACATAAAAATTTACAGCATGTTAAGCAACAAGCCAAGTGTTACATATATGAAATTCCCTACTCCCTATGACATCATTTTCATCCGAGGAATGGAATCCTATGCAACATTGCACCCATGGTGGATTTCTCGGGAAAGATTCGGATTCCTGAACACCGAGCAACTTGTTCATCTTATTAGTTAGTGTATCAACGTCCGGATAACCACCGAAAAACACTTCCTGCAAAAGGACCACATTACGAAAGAAAAATGCTTGAATAGTTGCAACTCAAATTAAACTGCTTTCTACTAAAAAGAGTTAAATGTATGAAAAACGTCTTACAGCATTATCCAAACACAATAGAGCATGTATTCTTGTAGTTGGATCCTCTAAAGTCATTCTTACTCTGTAATTTCCAGCAGGCGATTTGAAGTCTTTGGTGTGTGAAGGATAAACAGCCACGAAACGAACAATGCATTTAAACCCACCATGAACCTATAATAGAGGGGAAAAATAAAATAAAACCTTATAAGCCGTGATAGATTAGTTGATACATATTAAATCCCAGAAACCAATTGTAAAAACAAATAACAAAAGGAGATTCAACTTCTGGGATAAGAAGCAATAACATGTGTTAAGATTTGGGATTCCATCTTAAAATATCAACCTGTTAAAAGGAGTAACTTAAAATCTTATAAGTTGGTCTGTGTTTCCATCTTAATTCGATATAGGATTATATTTCTTAACATGCTCCCACAAGATATTGGCTCTTTTGAGTAGATCAATCTATGAGCTGATTTTTTTAGAGTCTTAATGTTAAGGGATATAATCTCATATTGAATAAAGATGAAAATATAGACTAACTTATAAGATCTTGGACCACTCCTCTTAATAAGGTTGACTTTTTAAGATGGAACCACAAATGTTAGCCCCTGTTTGATACCCATTATCTGAAAATGAAAATTGGGGGAATGGTATTTTTTAGAAAAATGAGTGGTTGAAAAAAAAGGATAAGTTTTCGATTTACGTGTAATATTATTTTATGGAAGATTGTGTGGTTGAAAATAGGAGAGAGAAAAATGGAATGTAATGTAATTTAATTCAATTGGGATCAAACAGGTGCTTAATATGATATCAGAACCATTAAGCTCAAGCGAACAATGCGATCCGATTAAGATTCTAAAAATGGGCATATGGATTTCAAGTTTGGTTTGCTTAAACGAGTCACCATATTACAGAGACATGTTAAGGGATATAACCTCACATCAACTAAAGATGAAAACATAGATCAACTTATAAAGTCTTGGGTTAATCCTCTTAACAATGTTGACCTTTTAAGATGGAACCCCAAATTTTAACAACATAAACATCATGACATAGGCAAAAACTACCAGTGGTGACAAGAGAAGATCCAACAATGTTGCAAAACGGGCATGCTCGTTACCTATCACTGAACTAGGAAAAATGTAAAACATCAAAAAACAATGAAAGCTCCAACAAAATTGCTCTTACTAGATTGGCAAACAAAAACATTGTTGTAAAACTTCCATTAGTATAGAAAAAGGAAGAAGACAAGTGCCAGTAAATTACCGATCAATATTTCGGAAATAGGATTGGCGGCAGAAGGAATCCGACCTCGTTCCAATATTCTCTCATTACAAACCCTAATAGATAATCCAAAATATGATTTAAGAATGATTCATGATATGAGGAAAGAGGCTATATACAAGGTTGTTGACTCGGCCAAGTCTCAATTTTTGTGGCAAAATGCCCAAGTGAGAAAGGGTTACCTTAAACGGTCAATGACACTATTGTCTTTCTCAGACAAAGGTCGACACTTGGTCGCTTGAGTTAAAACTCCTTTCCACAAACCTGACTCGGTTTTACATTGAAGATTACGCATCCTAACCCAATTTCCAACAAATTGAAAGTGAATACCACTTTCCTCATATACTTCACCGGCTACAATTCTCAACACTGTCCCAACATGTGGAAAATTGCGTAAAACATCTTCATGCAAACGTACTGGTTCAATCTGTAGCGGTAGAGCAATCTGCTCTTCATCTGTAAGCCTACATACATACATTTCATGTTGCTTATCACTTCCTCTTTCATGTAAAAATACTTATTGACTATCCCTACCTTACCCAATGTTAAATGATGTATAAGTAACATGCAGATGTATACTAGTCACATATCAACAAATCCAAGATGCACCGAAGAACTTCTCTAGTGGAAATTAGACATCTTGTATGCTTTGACATGAAAGAAATTCATCTTCTTATAGTTGACAATCTACGTGCTCCTCAATGTGAATCTTGTATGCTATGGGTGGCTAGTCTCAAAATTCTCAATGGCCATAAACAATCGCTTCCATCAAAATTTAACTTCATAATAATCTACATGAGATCTATATGCTAACAAGACCGTGGCAGAGCAGGAATTTTCTTCAGGGGAATTGTGTCTCATTTTCTTCTATCAACCATATATCATTTATTTGTTAAACATGATTTCTGTTTGTTTCTAACTAATATCTAGTTATCAGTTATAATCAATTTGCTAAACATAGCCAATCAAAGGATAGACATCAGTAGAATTCCGATATGTTAACATACATATTCAAACATTTATCACATATTGGGACCCAACAAAGAGCCCATAAGGTCTTTGTTCCTCAGATCAGAAACCACATTATCAACTTTTTTTCACAGACTTAGCAACATATCTTAAGAACAAGGTAATGTTTGGTAACACCATAATTATTAATCTTGGATGACATAGAATTTATTGGCAGAGCTCATATTAAGTTCCCATAAATTTTTAAGAAGAAATTTTTTGAATTGAGACAGTTTAGCACATATTATTTTTTAATAAATTCTACTCAATTTCATCATTATATTTTGAAGTTTTGCGTCCTCGCGATACAAACGTGAAAAATTTTCAAATATATTATCTACTTAATAATCATAAAAGAAAAATGGGCCTTACCTGCACCCTTTACAAATGCTAGGTAACTGTGGTTCAAGTTCAACTTAACCGAATTGAAGATAAGTATAGCAAAAGAAGTAATATGTCAAAAACATGGAGAAACTAGATTGTGCAAACCCTTTAAGATTTAGATACCTCCTAACATCAATTGCTTGAATCCAGTCCTCCAATTTTTGCCCTTTAATTGAAAATGTGACAATGATGAAGTAATATACAGAGCAAAAGGAAGTATAATTTTTTTCATTCCTCTGGCTTGTAATGTTAGCTTAATAGACTACCAGCATAAATAATTAAGACTGCAATTAAAAATTAAAAAAATAAAACAGCTTACTTAGTATTTATGCTTATGGGAGGTGCATCAGTTCCATCCCACACGAACAGCATCCACTTGCCACTAGATACTTCACAGGCATAGAGAACCTAAGAACGTATAACGAATATACAAAAAGATAAAATAATTAGGCATTACTTCTCATAATAAAGGTTAGTATGATAAAATGCAGTGGCAAGTTTGGAGCAGAAGATAAAGCAAACATGAATCACCTTACACACTAGATCAACATACAATTTTCCTTCAATATCTTCCAATGACACTACGTGTTGACTAATGCCTGCAACATTTAAATTTAGCACCAGCTGCAAGTAACTCACATATAATATCATCTGTGGAGAGGAAATATAGAGTAGTAAACCACACAACTCCTCAATTCTTGAGAAAAAGTTTAGAAGAACCTACCACTTGAACAAACTGATTGTGAAATAAAATGAACTACTTTTTAACTAAAAGTAAAATAGTGTGCACTTTCAGTTACACCTAATGTAGAATCAAATCATGAGAAAATACCAGCGTCAAAAGGGGTAATCAGTGACCAGTTCCTCAAGCGTCGGATAAAGACCTTATCAGAATCCAAAAATTGAAATGTCGTAGAAACTTGATAGGGTTTGAAATCATCACCAACTCTTCCATCAAAAAGAGCAAATGAAGAGGTCTTGTTGAAAATTGCTGAAGGCTTTTGCTCATAGTTTTCTATCTGCGGGTGAATTTCAAAATTAAACTTTCTTTTATCGAAAACAAGCAAATTTTATTACACGGATCAATAAAAATAACATGGAAGTAAAAGTAGCAACATTCAGTATACCCAAACATCACAGAGAAGGATGATGTCTTTGTGGGCACGTATGTAGGGCATGGCATTGATACTTGCCATGAAAACATTAACGCATAACTCATGATCATTTTGAGACTGATCAATAATCTTGAGAATAGTGAAGTAATCTGCAATTATTACAAAAATATCAAATTATTATTCAAATAATAAAGTTTATGATATCTAATTAATAAAAACAAAAACAAACTGCTCGTTGGATGGATTCTTGACCTCCAAAAGCATAATATTACAAAAACAAGTTTTTCTTCTTCTTTTCCGCAATACACTCTTTAAATAGAGATGCAACAAAACCCCTAATTCCTAGAAAATAGCTATTACAGTCTACATTAACCCACTAACCCATGTAATGCCATTCAAAATAAACAGTAAACAAAATGAAATCTTACAAATTAGACAAAAAGGCATGGTAATGAAAAGTAAGAGAAACTGAAACAGTACCAGAGCCGTTGGACTTGCAAGGAACGGAGAATTCAACTACAATGCCAAGAATATTGATTCTGCGGTGGTAATAGTTGCCTACGTCCTTCACTTTCACTATATACCGACGCATGTCTTTATAGTTTACTCCCTTCTCACTGATCCGTGAAAATTAACTGAGAAAAGTTGGGAGGGTTTTTGGTGGTGTTATAAATGGCTACTACGGTTGGAAGACGAGAAATTCTCACCACGAAGCATTACTTTACCGAATGGCCAACTCCACGTTTGTTTGCGCTTATAATTACATTCTTAAAAGTAGTTTTTATTAATAAATAATTAATTTAAAAACTACTAATATTATTGTTATTGCCTCCATTTATTTTTAAATTATTTTTTCTCAAACTCATTTTAAACTACACAAAGGCTTCCGTCCAAAAATTAGCACATCATATATCGAGATATTACTTTTTGAACATACGAGCATGTTTGGCTAAGCTATAAGTTTCATGTAAGTTCCAAGGAAATAAGTAACTTTTAATATAATGCTTTTATCGGTCGAATTGAGATAAATTAAATTATGTTTTTACATTGAAGGACGACTAAATGGAACCTTAACGAAGATGCCTAACAAAGCATTGTCGAATCGAATGAAATTTTCTAGTGGTTCTTCTTCCATATTGTTTAACGTTTGACATAGCCTCTGTTTGCTTCCAATTTTTTTAAAAATTCAATTTTTTAAGCTAATTTTTACTCACATATTTTATGAAATCCACTACTTTATAAATCTTACAACCACACATTTCAAAATCTACTAAAAATCTAATTTTTAACCATATGAAATAGGGGATTAGCTTATTACTAAATTTATATAAACAACAATCATGATAAACGTATGATTATCTAAAATCAATTTATGATTGAAAGCGAAGTCAATACTAATTGGTGATAAATTGAAAACTGGCTAAGAAGGTAATGATAGTCTCCATAGATCTAAAGAAGTTGATATTGTAATCGCTAACGACTTGACTTCTTCAGACCTTTGAGGAGACATGGGAATGAACCCAAGCCAAATATGATTCATGTATTACATATCCAATTCATTGTGAATAAAACTTTGTTCGGAAAAGTCCAGTGCTCAATAGCATCCATTTCAAGTCAACAACGCGAACTACACAAGTTTAAATCTCTAAACAGGAATTTCTTCAACATAAATGTTCTATGTTTAAAAGTATACTCCAAATATATGCCATAATGAAAATAGGGATTGACATCTGCATATCAGATGATCTCTGTTTTATTCTTTTAACTAGCAAATAATCCAAGAAACTCCTGCTATCTTTCTATCTTGCTCAAAAATGCTTCCATTGGTGGCAATTCGTTTACAATGTCTTGCCAATCCGGCATGCCCTGAAAAGTTCAAGAGTCGATCTTGTAAGATATTCCACATAAAACTATAGTATATCATGTTTGATATACTAGAGTGGACAGAACCAAACAGTGTTAAAGAAGAAGAAAAGGTAATATCTTCCCATTGTATTTTCAGTCCTTTAGCATTTCACAGAAAAGTTGTCCTTTCTGGAGCACTTACCCGCCCTGATTTTCGAACACGACCATCTAAACGAAGTATTATGAAGACATCTTCACCAGGAGTGATGCCTTCGGACTTCTGCTGATCCATGATCCACCTGACAACGGAAAAAGACAAAAGGACAGTTGACACGGAACTTTAAGTAGTCTACATACAGCGCTGAAAATTTGAAAAATAAACAAACTGGGTTCAACTTTGAACTTTTTCTTTTCTTGCTTATTTACGTTGGAGAATTACGAGAGATGGGAAACTCATTCTCGTGGGAGAAATATCCCAAGACTTATTCATGGGAGAATTAAGATGGGAGTTAAATTTATCTACAGTTAGACAGACGGACAATTACAGGGGGACAACCCAAAAAATATAAAGAAGGAACTTTCAATATGCCTTTCAAAAGAGATAAAACCAAGAATAAGTCCATTTGCAAGTCACTGAGATGCTCCATGTGAAGGAAAATTAAACATATTAGACAAGAACTACTAAATGGTAATACTAACCTCTCCCATTCAATAGGTGACACCACTTCTGCCCTGAATCGAATCTCTGCTTTTAGTTTTGATTTTGCAACTATGGATTGAGCTCGCTTATCAAACTCTTCCTAACATGAAACCAACAAAGATTGTCAAACCTAAAACAAGGGTGGGGGCGGGGATTAAAGATTATGATCCTATACTAGAAGTTTGTATAATGCTCAAGAGAAAATGATTTCAGATAAACAACTTCAGCAAATGATTTTCATAAATTTCTACTAATGGTTGCAGATTAACACTAAAATATGCAAGAAACGGAGAGCAACTGCATCCTAGGATGAAGACGTTCAATAAACACGTGTACTAGAATTTTCCAATCTTACCCCTATAGATGGAAGAGATGAAACTGCCCTTTGAGATGCACCAAATCCTTTTCTCTCTAGTTGTGGATCCTTGTTTTCACCCCAAATAACTGGAACCAGAATCACTCCCCGTCTAAGAAGCTCAGTTCGAAATCTCTCAGCCTTCCTCATGGCAGAAGCAACCATCTCTTTCTTCCCAGCCAAAATAACCTACGACAGTCATCATGTAAATTATCACATTAAGATAGGAACTTGGATGAAAAGTGGTCTCAGTAATAGTTGTCCATACTTGTATAATCTTCAACAGTTCTCTCTCCAACCAAAAAGAAAACGAAAGGAAACACCATTACCCACAGAATAACAAGAGAAATATTCAACTTCTTAAGAGTTAACAAGAGCAAAACTGTAAAAAACCATAGGCTACTATGTTTGGTAAGAAGTACTAGATAGGATTGGACAATTTGTTCATGTTTGTAAGCTTCTTTTCCTTTCTTAAAATTATTTAATAATATTTAATCTCCCAACCAAACGGGCTAAGGTCAGAGTTAAACAAGAAGATGAGGAACATATTATGATGAAAATATGGAGAAATATTAGTGCTCCAGTGGCTTGTTTTTTGACATCTCTATTTGTTCCCTAATGTTTAAGAACTCAAAATATGCAGAGGATGAGAGAGAATTTACTAACAGGCCTTGCTGTGTCTCTTAACTGCACAAGTTCCACAACCCTGTTAGTTGAAAGTCGCAATGGCAACCTTGATAGAGTTTCATCACGTGTTATTTGTGCAATTTGTTCCTCTTCTTTCTTGTTATCCCAAAAGAACAATGCCACAAAAACAACAATACCTGCACCATGCTGATTCAAAAAGTTGATTGACTCGGGGAAACAAATCTTTTGCTATAGGCGGATTCAAAATTATGCAACAGACATTAATTTCCACAACAACACGATACTTGAAGCAAAATTGATCATTATTTACCGCCTATATTGATGGCAACATTTTCAACAGTCTCCAAGAGGTCAGGAGCACCATCACCGCCTCCAATTGCACGAAAAAGCCTAGGTGCAGTAAAAAATAATGAAATTCCGGCAGCCACAGTTAGCGTCAAGTAGAAAAACCTTCGAACTCCACGGAATGGTGCTTGGACCTCACTAATGAGTTTAAGGTCTCTCCGGAAACTATAGCCTACATCTTCCCCACCTAGTTTAGCCTGTTACAGAAAAAGAGATATATCAGATCAAATATCTTCAAATATATGTTGCTTAAATTGCATCATTTGTTTTTTATTACCATGTATCAGAAAGTATGAAATCTGATGGAAAATGGGATGCACCTTGCTCGTATAGAACGAAGTTTTGAAATTAAAATCTACAAATTGCCACGAGAAGGAAAAATGAAATATATGTACCAGTTTACCTCTTCTTGTAATTCCTTGAACTCAGGCAGTGCTCTAAATGAGGCCAAATCAGGATCATTTAGAATTGTGCCAAACTTGAGGTTATAGTCTCTTAAAGCTGTGCGCAAACAATCAGCAGCTCTCTTTCCTTCCCCCCTTAATCAAAAAGTAAACAAGAAAATAGATTCAAGGCACTCAGAATGTTAAATGATTGAATCTGACAAAGAAGTAAGGAAAATTCTTGCCTAGCAAAGAGACTTCTAGTCATATACTACTCTATAGGATGACAGTATGATATGATCCAAGATGGGCTTCAAAGTTTCAATAATATGGTGCACGTTGGCGAGGAGTTAAAATCAAAATTCAAGATTAATTGGGTGCCAATTGGAGTTGATTCGAGTCGTACAATCACTTGTTGGAGTCTTGGGGGCCAAGAGGTTGAGGATGACAGGCCAATTGACAAATTGCATGTTGGAGTCGAAGGCCAAAACAAATGGGATCAATATGTTGCAACCGGCCGAAGTTGGAGCAAGACAGGACATCCATGCGGCCGCACTGAGTTAATGGCTTGCGGCCGCACAAGTGCCAACAGATGAATTCCAAGCGTGAGTTGATGAAGCCAAGCGACCGCAACTGAAATGCCCATGCGGTCGCACCATATAAATCTGGACGCGATTTTCTGTTTTTGTGCGAGAGTTCTATTTTTACCATGATTCTTATTTTTGGTAGTTTCTTTAATCTAGGAGTTTATAATTCCCTTTTCTTTTTTTTTCCTATTATTCTTAGGCTTTTATTCCTCTCTAAATTAGGTTTTAATTAGTTTCCTAGCCATAGTATAAATAGGCTTTTATCTCTTCATTGTATTCTAGAACTTTTGCCATGAATTAAAGAGAGAATTTTCTCCCGAAGCTTTTGTTTTAAAATACCGAACTTATCAAGATTAATATTTTGTGGCGTTCAAACAAATCATCATGTTAGATTCTTTGGGTTGTGTAATCAAAAGGTCCTTCGCATCGCCGTTATCGTTGGGTTATTTGATTCATTAATTTTTTTGATCAAATCCACAAATCCGAAAGAGATTTCAAGATTGTGTGATTAAAAGATCATTCGTTTCATATATGTTCGGTTGCTTAGTTCACTTTTGCGGGTCAATTTCTAAACCTTGATCATTATTTGGATTTTCTTGAGATCCGTTGTCAATTCCTGTGGGTTCGATAGCAACCTTGCTAATCGGGTTCGCATCATAGTATACAAAACTCGTGATCGAATGTTTGACCAAGCTTATAAAGTTTCAATTAAACAAATATGTTTATAAAATATAATTGTTTATCAATCAAAGTTAGAAAGAAGTTATTTTAAAAGTAAAGAGTTCTTCAAAAGTTAGTAACGATTTTTTACTTGGGAGAAAATTTAGTTATACAAACATCATCTTGCTCCATATGGAGAATCAAAAAGTTAACAAGTATTTTATGCTTAACCAAACATCATCTTGCTCCATATAGAGAATCAGGATGTTCTTACTTTACATAAAATATGCTTCAATAATGCCTCAGTCTTCAATGCTTTGAATTTGACAAAACTCCAGCTGTCTGATAAGAATATAACAAAAAAATTTAGAAGCTAACCTGTAGGCATGACAGCAGGCTTTGTTATACAGTGCAGCTTGAGCCTCCGTAGGATTCGGATCCAAAGTAAGAGCAGTGTCAAACTGTGTGAGAGCATCTTTAACCTGGTAAATGCATTAATTCTGAGAATATTAGTTCTGACATTTGAGAGCCACCAAATATTAAAGAATGGTGTCCAATCATCTTTATTTCTCCTTGACAAATAAAAAGATTGGAACCAAAAAGATGCCCTGGTATCCGTAATTTTAACAATACAATTCTTCCCTCTCGACATTCAGGATGTTACGTAAGATGAAACTGGTCTAACATTCGGATCTCTGCAATTTTTTATTGTTATTTTTTGAGAATTTCAGTACCATATCTCTATTAATCTTGTGAGAAAGCAAAAACTGAGCGTAGATTGGTATAAAACCAACCATTTTTTGCACATTTTTGTCCAGATTATGTAATAGATTTTTCTAAGCTTGTCATCAAGAAAATTTCATGTAAGCACATTTTGAAGCCAAGCACAAATTTATTAAAAATAATATTCATCCTAGCTGCAACAAAAATAATTACAGTTTCAGCTAATCTATTAATGTATAAAATTAAGAGAGAACATAAATCTTCAAATGAATTTCAATTGTTTTAATTTTTCTCTCTCCAATTGTAACTATATATCATCAAGAGTTAGTAATCCCAAATCTAATACCCCAGACTCATGATTTTGATAATGGATTTCTGATCATCTTCATCTATTCGGATAAGCTGTACTCATCCAACTCTCTATAACATAAAAGATGCTGAATTACAGCTGCATGTGGAATATGAATGAGAATAGATGCAAATATACAAGTTCTGTGCATTTCACATCCCCTGAATGCACGACATAAGAGAGAAGCATAAAATTTTATAAGAGAATAGAACTAAAGACAGATGAATCAAATAATTTGCCATTTATAATAGGATTCTCATAACAACATGGCATGTTGGGATCCTCTAGAAAAGCTAAAGCAACAATCTCGGAAAATTAAAGGACTGCTGCTTATACAACAAAATTATATCCATTCATATAAGCTATTTATTGAAACGTGAGATTGTTTAATGAAAATCATGAAAATCCCGATTAACGGTTGTTGGTTTTTAACAAATTCTAGAACAAAAGCATATCTTAAATATGCATACCAGCTGTTTTACGAAGATGATGATACCAAGACTGTCCTCTTAATATTAGTTAAGGGAATGGATTATTGATTTATTCTAGTCGAGACATTGGGATGATTGAACATCTATCTTAATCTTTTGTACCAAAGGCGTTAGTGAGTAGACTGTTTCAAGTGCCCACTAATCCATAATCATATACTCACTTATGAATTATAATACAAATAAGCGATATTCTCATAAGGATCTGCATCAAAAACATTCATTTTTAAGTGGATTATGCGTTTCTTCGGATTCAATTTCATCACAATCAATTCAAGAAACCAGGAAAATTACAGAATTGAAAGTACCCGTCCTTTGGCGAAAAGGGAGAGACCCAAATTGACACAAGATTCAGCTGTAGGAGTAGTGGCTTCAGTTGAAGAAGAAGAGCAATGGATAAGGGAACCATGGGTGTTGCTCTCCAACTCCAAACCAGTCCAAAAGGGAAGGTGTAATGGTTTTCTGTTAAGATTCCATGATTTTGACGTTTCGGTGGCAAATGAATTTGTTGGTGAGGAGTAGATAAAGTGGCGGTGGTGGTGGCTGAGGACGAAATAGTGGTGGTGGTTGTGCAGTGCAAGAGTTGCTGCAGCCATTGACATATCACAGGCAAGAAAGACAATTTATCCAAACGGCAACGGCACCCATTCGATTTTTGGGAAATTTTCAAATAAAGTCCT